CTCTATATATTTTTACTATGCCACCCATATATTTTTTCTATGCCACCAAGGGTTGCCTTAACACCATTATTTATGAAGGTCAGTGATTGCTTACTTCGCCATCACAACAAATTATCAATCTAGATTATTCTAAATCTATCTCTAAATTCTGCTTGGAGGAGTACACCATTTTACGGGAACGACTGAATTCTTTCTTTAATGCTAAAACCAAAATGCCCATATTTGAATGCTATATTATAATGGATTCATGGAGACATATAATTTAAATGTTATTGTATTGAATATGCTTTTTATTATTTGATTATTGTAATTTAAGATATAAAAATAGCTAACAATCTCAAATGTATGGGTTTAATCATACTCACGAACTTAGTGATAAAATTCTAGCGATTCATGATCTTTTATTAATTATTATTTGTTTGTCCATTTTAATATATGTGGATGATTTATAAATTCTTTATATTTCAACCTAATACATCGCAACTTCTATTTAATACTCCTAATACATCAAATATTGTTGTTTAGAGGCTGAACTGCTTTAATGGTTCTATAATTGTCTACTTTATCAGAAGAGAATAGAATGATAAATTGAAATTTTAAATTTTGAATTCGGAAATATATAAACTTAATAGGTGAAAAATCAATTATTCTTTTCCACTTAAATCAAGCTACAATCTTTGTCCGGATTATTTTTAAGCTGAAATGGTTGTACTCACTCGGCCGATTTTGATTATCTTTGTGATTCTTTCGTAGAGTAAATGAGATAGATGTTTTGTGATGGTTCAGTTTCTAATTGCTCTTTCAAGATGAATCATCCATATAAGTGAAACCTGATTATGTTCAGGCTGTTGGGCAATTTTACCCCCTCATGGTAAATATCATATATATATATATATATAGATTGATCGCTGATCAACCTCAAAGTCTGACCGAGGGACGGACTCTCCTTCCAGACATGTGTGCAATTCGATCCTACACAGAGATCAAACCCCCGACCCGAGGGACTTACACCAAAGGCCGCAACCAATAAGTCAGACTAAAGTGCACGCACACACACGCACACACGTGTGCAGAGCTAAATGAAAACTTTCTTGAAATTAGAAATTTAGTTATTAAAAAGAAAATACAAATATACACTTTTAAAAATCCACTGAAATTTATTTTTTAATAGAATTTATGATCATAAATGGAATTAATATGTGTAGCATGTCATATATTATTATTATAGCTTTATAAGAAAGTTTAACATGCATATTACTCCTCCTTCATCTAGTAGTTGTGATATATAACAATCAAGATTTGATTGGTTTATTTTTGATAACTCACTATTGTTGCTTATTTAAATAATCCAAAACTTAAATGAGTAGAATGGAAGACAATGCCACATAAGATAAATGTATTTTATTTGATCTAAAATTTTGATTTTGTATTTTTTATGGCTCTTTTGCTATTTTAATATTCAAATAAAGTTTATAGAAAATATAAAAAAAATCAATTCATTAATAATCTTGAGATAATAATCATGATTTCAAAATAGAGTTTTTAGAAAATATAAAAAAATTCCATTAATAATCTTGAGATAATAATTATGATTTCAACACAATCCAAGAGTCTATTCTTCCATGAAATTTCCAAAATCTTAGTTCAAGTCAAGACAAAAGTGATATCACAATAAGAGATTTATTTTAAGCACGTGAAGTAAATCATAACCTAAGAGTCTCAATTAATGAAGAATTTTAATAAGAATGTGTGTGTGTGTGTGTCTTTGTATATATATATATATATATAAACCAACTTTACAAAATTATTAAGATATACACATTTGTTGGTCTCGATTGTTGAAAAGAAGTTTGACAATTTTTTATCAATCCTTGTGATTTTGATTTGCCATTCATTGGCGCCTGGGATCAATGATTATTCCATTATAGTAAAAATGGCTAGAAGAGTGAAAATTGTTTTTTTAAATCACTTCAAAAAAAAAAAAAAAGTTATATAAGAAGAAGAACATGAAAGAAATTAATCAAGATCTCAATTTAGAAGTTCCAATCGAGTGTACACGTCTCATGCCAATAGAGTGGTAGTTAGACCGGTAGTAAGACTATAGAGATTTGAATTTAGTGTGAAAAGCTACCTAGGTGAACACTTACTTAGCTCTAAAGTATATTATTTATATCGACAATCAGGGTGTCATATGAGGAATAATCCCAATTTTGCTTAGGAATCTATAACTGATACTAACTCATAAATAAATCCAATTTGGAGTTCTCAAGATGGATCTATCAAGAGTGACCAACCAAAGGTGACATATTCTAGTGCATTTAACCATGATAGAAATAAAATAAGGCAACACATTTGACATAGAGTTTATGCCTTACTTAGCAAGTAAAGAAAAAAAAAAGAATTACTATTGTTATTGATAGACTTTGATGAGGTTATTATAATCTTGTTATTTAATATAATATGATTGTTGTTTTAGTTATGTCCTCTTATATATAAGAAATATGAAGCTATTCTAGTCATGTTATTCTATATTAAATGATTGACTTCTAATATTAGATTTGTATCTACCATTGAATCAAATTTGATGGTTTCATAAGGATTTAGTAATATGGTTTAGATTTATTCATGATGATTTTAGATTGAGTAGTTCATTCTTTATACATATCTAGGAGGAACCTATACAAGACATAAATTTTAAGGACTAAATTTTCTTAAGTGGGGAAGATTATAATATCCTAATATAAAAAAGAAAATGCATAAACTGATGCCAATTTAATTGAACTGATATTAGTTAGTTCACTGTTATTAATAGGACAAAAGTGAAGGGGGGTGAATTCCCAATAGTGAACTGAGAGCAAAAATTGAAAAAGGTGATTGAAACAGAGTGGTATAACATGAAATTGAGAGGGAGAAAGAAAAGAGGAAGAATGAAATTGACATAATTTGGCTTGGCGACAAAGCATGATTCGAGAGAAGGTAACAAGTGGCTAGTATGATTGTTCGCTCAAGAAAGAGCAAGCTAGCCTTGTGCTAATGAGAAATAGAGAGGAGAGCAAGAAATAGGGAGGAGAGCGGGATCGAAGGGATTATGGTAGGTGAGAGAGTGACAACTGGCAAGTAGATGGGCTTGAGCAGGAGTCTGTGGGTGTGACAACCTGCATGAGCAACAAAGGTTGTGCTTGAATGTGTGCGTAGGCATACCCACGATTAGGGGCAATGAAAGTGAACTGAAGAATTAAGTAATATTTGGAAAACTTGGATTTATTCTATTTCCAAAAGAATCATTTTATTAAGATTTTTGTGTTGATTTAATATTTTAATATCTATATATTTTATAAAATAGTTCAATGAAAAATTTTAGAGCTTTCAATAACACACAAATGTCGAGGAATCATATTTTGAAGATTATTTAGCATTTAATTTTTTTATTAAATTTCATATAAGATTATTATAAAGTTGTGTTTAAATAAATATAAATATGATTTAATAATGGCATTATATAAAATAATTAAATTGGATGTATGAAATAAAGTATAGTTAAGACATCAGAAAGATTAAAGTTATATAAAGTATAATTCATAATTAAATACTAACATCATAAATTTAATTAAATTATTTTTATTAAATATTAATTATTCAATTAGGAATTTAAGATTTCCTTTAAAAAATAGTTTGAATAAGAATACTTAACAGCACTAAAAAGAGACTATTTCAAGTAAAAGAGAAGGCTTTTCATAAGAAAGATCAACATCACAACCTTCAATTGGTTGCATTGATAATAATTTATAGTTCTTGCACACTATTGATAGAAAATTTTTTAGATAACTAAATCAAAATCATGAAACACATTTTATTAAAATAGGTCATGTAATACTTAGTATATATAATCATGATATAAAAATAGAAGGAATCAAATTGATTAATATTGATTTAATAAGAGGGACAAGAATGAAAGGGAACAAACCCCTACAACATACTAAGAACAAGAATAGAATATGTCAAAGCAAAGGAAAGCGAGATAGTATGTGATCTCGAGGAAGAGAGGAAAAATGGAGAAGGACGCCAACAAAGTGTAGTTTGGGGGACGGGCACGACTTGAGACGAGTGTTTTTATATGAAAAATATCAAGGAATTGTATTGAGAAGTTTAACTAAATTTAATTTATTATTAGTTTTCATATAATATTATTATGTTGTGAATAATGAAGTTTGATGATAAAGTAGTGTCTATGTGTGGGCATCTAGAGAGATTCTATGTAATATAAAGTCTAATTCTTAATTAAGTATTAATGCTATAAATTTAATAAAATTGTTTTCAATAAGTAGGAATGATTCCATTAGGAATTTAAGATGTTCTATGATATGTATTTTCTATATGAATATTGATGCGTGTTCCAAAAAATTTAAGATACGAGTAATTATAATATGTTTGAACCAAAGATCTGTTTGAGGGAACTGCAGCTTATTAAAAAGTAGCTGTAAATCTGCTGAATAATAATCTGATGCTAAAAAAATTACAATGGCTATTATAAATTTGTTTCTCTTAAAAGTCTAACCACGACTAGAAAATTGCTACGGTACCTAGTCAGAAGTAGTGGATAAACGCATAATTTAGTGACGGCTTTTTAAAAAGTAGTCAAAACACAGTTTACCCAAAAAGATAAAACTGCAGTACGATGTCGCACCGCCACCCTTGACCTTTGATATTTTACATGTTAAGTTACTCTCAAAGTGGGCAAAAGTGCTCGAGAATTCCAAACTAAATCTCTGAAGATAGAGTCCTTATAGTGATATTAAAGTGCATAATTACATTTTTTTTTTAATTAGAGTATGTTTTTCCTATTTAAAAAACTTAATACACTTAACCATTATATTTTATACTCAACTTTTCATGTTGTGATAACAACTCCAGATGAATGTTACTCTTTTGCAACATGTTTGTGATATTAATAGAAATAAAACATACATATTAGTTTTACTTCATGAATATTTATATACTAATTGAAATAAGAAAGACATTAGATTCTCACAACATCAAGTTTAGGTTCTTACAAATTGACCTATAATTACTCATTGAAAACTTGCTTCCATACCACAATTCTTTCGTATTTACATATCGAACACCTAAAATTTGATATTCAGATTTACATATGCATTTCACTCTCAACAAGAAATAATGATGTTTTCTATGTGATATTAAAGATTTCAGAGTTATGTATGTAAATATGAAAGCATAGGTGTTAGATATGTAAATAAACCCCAAATTTGGCATACAAATTTGCAGGAGTTGCCACATTGTTTTTGCTTCATCTCCTTTACTTAACATAAGACTTACAGATTGGGAGGAAAGCTTTGAAACTAATACTAATGGTCAAAACCACATTATTTACACGGAATTGCCAGAAGCAGAAAATACCTTTTACTCACCTTATATCTGTAAGGCATTTGAAGCCATTGATGAACTCCCAGATCTTATAAAAGCTTAAGACTATGTGCCATGGCGAACTACAGGGGCATATAGATTCACTCCAAATCCTTAATGGCGTCCTGCATTAAGCAGAAAGTCTGATTTAAGAGATCAAGTGATGCATGAATATTTAATGAATTTAAAACTATGGGAATCTACATGCATACCGCCCAATTTCTATGTATTTACATATCTAACAGATAAAAATTCATTTTTACATTTATAACACACTTAAATATCTCTTTCACTTTAAAAAAATGAAATACACCTTTTCATGTATGTGAAAGGTGGGGTAAATGTAAAAATTGAAGTTTAGGGGGTGTTAGGTATGTAAATACACAGGAATTGAGTGGTATGTATGAAAATCTTCCTTGAAACAATAACATTTCAGACAAGCTGCTAATGAAGTAGCCATGCAAGGATATTCTGGTTGAAAGTTTGATCATGTTGGGTCTCAAAGCCCTTTGACCTGGTTTGAGATGAATGTAAGAAACATATAAGAAAAATGTCAAAATAGTCCTCCGACGCTTTACATGGGAGTCATTTTAGGTTTATAAAATTGCAAATTTAATCCCCAAGACTCTTTTAATATAGAATGAAATAGTCCCCACAAACCAATTTAAAGAACCTAGAGACTAATTTGACACTTTTATAAACCCTAGGACTAAAATGTCCCCATGTAAATAACTAGGGAAAAGCTTTGACACTTAAGTCAATAATAAATATTGAACGCATTTGAAAGCAGATATAAAAGCTTTTAAGGTTTTAAAACCCATCTTGATACTTTTTATTAAGATATCCTGATAGAAAAATTTTCTGTAATACTAGATGATACTCGTCTTAGATGGTTTGGTCACATTAAACGTCGGCCATCTAATGATCCAATTAGGAGAGTAGATGACTTAGATTTGACTTATGTTAAGAAAGGCAGAGGTAGATGTAGGAAAACTTGGGCTTATTGCATAAAAATTGATCTTAATTTATTAAAACTAGATGAAAATATGACACTAAATAGGACGCAATGGAGAAAAAGGATTCATGTAGCCGATCCCACGTAATGGGATTAAGGCTTTGTTGTTGTTGTACTAGATGATACTCGTCGAGCATTTTCCACCAATATTCTGATAGTACTAAGAATTGTGACAGAGGGTATTTCTTTTTCTTTGAAAATTGATTTTATAGAAGAGTTAAATGTTCTCCTAATCACATAAAGTAATTTTTAAGTACTTCTTAAACATTGTTTTACAGCGGCAAAGATCTAGTTTTACATTACACTCCTAAACAACCATATATTTATACCAGAGATAACAAGCACTACAACTCATGGTCATAGCTGTAATTTAGCTCCACGCTTGAATTTGGAAACTCGAGACTTAAAAGACTGCAAATAAGGATTGGCAAAAGAAAGATACAACAACAACAAAGTCTTAATTCCACTACGTGGGGTCGGCTACATGAATCGCTTTTCTCCATTGCATCCTATTTAGTATCATATTTTCATTTAGTTCTAATAAATTAAGATCATTTTTTACACAATAAGCCCAAGTCTTCCCAGGTCTACCTCTGTCTTTCTTAACATAAGTCGAATCTAAAACAACTACTCTCCTAATCGGATCATCAGATGGTTGATGCTTAATTTGACCAAACCATCTAAGACGAATTTCACTAATTTTATCCGTCACAGGAGCTACACCAACCCTATAACGAATATATTCATTTCGCATTTTGTCTCTAAGTGTAAAGCCACTCATCCACCTAATCATTCTCATCTCGGCAACACTTAACTTAGTATTATGCTTCTTTTTAAAGGCCAACATTCAACGCTATAGAGATTGGCAAAAGAAGGATGCATTCACAAAATATGCTTACCTTTGCAAGTCTGGTAACATAAGCAGCAGCGAGAACCGTGGCGAGAAGGCCTAGTCCAAGAGTTAAAAATTGGTTGCTTCCTCCATGAAAGCCAACATCTGATTCTTCTTGCTGCAAAAAACATCAATATATGGACGATTTTTAGATCCTTGAGGCTTAGTTATGGAGCACCAAATTATGATTTAATGTAAAAAAAAATTTTGAAAAGAACTTTTAATAATTATTCTTACTCCTACAATTAATTAGCCTTACATTTTCCAGATGTCCGCAAGAAATAACAAGTCTGTGTTTGTTTTATTTGGATAAATTAATGGTGAATAGAAAAATGAAGGGGCAGTTTGGGATTACTTTTGTCTTTTGTATTCTTGTTCTTCATTTTCATATTATTTTTTTAGTGTTTTCATTTGAAATAAAATATACTTGATTGCAATTGTTACTTTTCAAAATACTCAAAACACATAAAGGTTGTTTTGAGTGCCCTTAAAAATAAGTTGATTTATTTTTAAAAATAAAAAATAAAAAGATACAAAAAAATACACAGGTCTGTTTGGCATCATGTTTTATTTTCTATTTTTATTTTCGCTTTTAGTTTTTGATTTTGAAAATATGTTTGGTTAATATAAGTTTTATATATTTTTATTATTTGTTTATTAAAACAAATCACCATGTTTTTAAAAACACTCAAAATAATTAAAAGATGTTTTGAGTGTTTTTAAAAACAACTACCACAACCAAAAAATGTTTTAATTCAAATCAAAACATAAACAAGATAAAAAAAAAAAAATAGAAAACAAAAAATAAAAGTGATCCCAAATGGCACCTAAACAAACATTTTTTTAAATAATAAAAACAGAAAATAAAATTTATGCTAAACTGGCCGACATCAAGAAAAACGTGTTACATTGTGACAATACCATTAAATATCAAGCTTAACACCTAACATAACTATTACAGGTAAAAAAAAAAAACCTTACGATTATGGCACGTCCGAATGCTCCAGCACTAACATATGCCCATGTTCCAGGAAGCATCCCCAACCAACTGCCAACAATGCATCAAATAACGTCAGTTTTGCATATCGCAGTAATTATAATACAAATAGAATAATTGTACTCTACAACTATAGTGATAGTTTCATTAATAAAAAAATGAGAATATATTAGTTGTTGCAAGAATAGCTGCTGTAACAGAGTGGGAAATTTTCTGACAAATCAAATGCAACGGTTGTGCTGGATGCATAAATAAGTTTATCATAAGTTTAATTAGTTCACGTTAAGGCAGGAATTGCCTATCTCGGTTTGAAGTTCCCCACATTTCTGAGCTCATCATTCAGATTTGATAAAAGAGGAAAATTAAAACACAAGCTTTCAATCGTTAACAAAAGTTTAGCCTAAAATAAGAGCACTGTAATTTGTACACCTTGGCGCAGTTATAGTTGCAAACCATGTTATTTCATGCCCACATGATCTTCACAATCTTTCTAGTTATCACTAGCAACAAATTTTGCAAAGAAATTATAACAGAGCAATTCTTTTTAAAGAGCCTAATCTTCTCATCATGAAAAAAATGTCATAAACAATTAGAGATTAACGTCAACAGCATTACGGATCAAATTTAGTTGAAAGATGTAAAAGAAATTCATAACTTGCCTTCCCAACACATAGGGAACAAACTTCACAGAAGTCAAACCATAGAGATAATTTCCGACAGAGAATGGGAGTAATGGACTCAAACGCAAAAGAGTTACAACGCGAAATCCATTTTCGCCAATTGCTTTGTCAATTGCAAGAAACTTTTTATTCCCTTCAACCAACTTAAGAATCCTTTCACGAGCGAAATATCGAGCAATGAGGAAAGCAGCAGCAGCAGCAACCTAGAATAAGTACGAAGGTAACTGATGAAGGCATGAAGCAGGCAGTTAAAATGTAAATATATGGCATAGATATAAAAGTAAACAGCTTACTGTTCCACTGATAGATACTATGATAGTGCCAGTTAAAGTCCCAAATAAAAGGCCAGCTGACATAGTTAATGGTATGGCTGGAATCGCAAGAATCTATGACATCATGAATAACTACTGTATGTTAGTACATAAGAATTAAAATGAAAAGAAAAATATTTCAATGTGTATATAGTTTGCCTATCTTAGCAAGTTTTATAAATTGCAAATGTAAAACATGAAATAAAATGGCAAAAACAGTCAATTTTCTTCCGATTCATAAACGCTCATAAAAAGTAAATTAAGCTATCTCAGAGGCAGGATGCCTTTTGATATTTATTGTTCATAATTCTCTATTATTAAGTATGATTCAGATAATAAAATTTCACTTTAAGATTAGATCAGGAACTTCTCATCACCGTATACCGAATGAACTATCATTTAGCAGAATGTGCTAAGGGATAGGAAATAGGACGAGCATTTCTTAACTTATTTTAGATTACCAAGCAGCCATAATTGGACACTGTGGCTTATATTAGATTACCAAGCAGCCATAATTGGACTCTGTGGATACATGACTGACAAAGCAGAACCAAAACTAATTTTTTCAGGTTGAACGGTCTAGCTGCACTGCATTTTAAGTGACCTAAGAAGGAAGCAACTTGGCTGTTATTTTCAAAATTCCTAGCCCAATCAACAACAAATCAAATTCCTCTAATGAGGTAACAAAATATAAAATTGAATTAACGTGTTACCTCCAATCCAGCATAAACAGCCACAAATAAAGCATATCCGGTGGGGCCAACATCTAACAATATAAATCAAAAGAGCTTTCAGGGGTGAAAATTTTAAAAATGAATACAATAAAACAAAATTGGAAGTTAGAGAAAAAAAAAAACAGAACAATGCATATTAAAGCCAAGTTCTACTAGAGAATCTTTAAGATGACATATATTTAGCATAGAAATAACACAATTTTATTGATGGCATCAAATTTAGGAAACCGCATTAATAGAACAGGTCAAGGCTCTGAAAAATGGGATGATGTTTAGTAAACCATTCAATCACAAGCTTGGGAGACCATATCACACAATGCATCCATTACGAGTAAATGCCATTGGCTCTCTACGAAATAAAAAAAATAATGGAAAACAGAAAGAAAGAGGATAAACAAAGTGTCATATTAATTAGCTACTAAATCCAGCACGGGAATTTTCTGAACCGCTTAAAACTG